CCTTTCCTGGAGCTAACTCACTTGGTAGTCCAGGCTGGCCTCGAACTCACAGAGATCCGCCTGCCTCTGCCTCCCAAGTGCTGGGATTAAAGGCGTGCACCACCACGCCCGGCGTCTTTGAACTCTTAATCTTCCTGAGTTCATCTCCCAAATGCTGGGTGTGGAGTGTATTCACCATACCTAGGTCATGGCTGCTTCCCCCTTAGCCTGGAGGTGTGCCCAGCGGTTGAGTGTGTGTTTAGACCTGGGTTTGAACTCCAGCACCAAAAAGAAAGTTTTATCTGGGGATACAGGTCAGCAATGGATAAAGTGTGTGCTTAGTATGACACACACAATAACAAAATAAATCTTAAATACAGTCCCAGCACTTGGGAGACTGAGGCAGGAGAATCAAAAGTTCCATGCCAACTTGGATTACTTTAATTCTGAGTATAGATTTAACTATTTTCCATTAATTTTTATTATCTGCGAAATGAAAAGAAAAGAAAAAAGTACACAGAAGAAACTCAACCTCACTGCAGTCTAATCACACGGCATTCTGGAGTTCTCCTTGCTGTGCAGAGAGGGGAGACCTCAGAATGAAAATGGAGATGGGCATGCGACATCAGAGCATCTAGTCACAGTTCTCAGGACACCAGACCGGGGGCTGGAGAGCCGGCTCTGCAGTTAAGAGTACTTCTTGTTCTTGCAGAGGACCTGGGTTTGATTCCCAGCACTCACGTGGCGGCTCCATAACTCCAATTCTAGGATGCACATGATACACAGACATATATGTGAGTAAAATACTCATATACATACATTAAAAATAGTTTATTTTTATTTCATGTGCATTGGTGTTTTGCCTACATGTATGTCTGTGTGAGGGTGCTAGATCTTAGAGTTACAGATGTTGTGAGCTGCCGTGTGGGTGCTGGGAACTGAATCTGGGTCATCTGGAAGAGCAGCCAGTACTGTTGACTGTTGAGCATCTCTCAACACTCATACACATAAATCTTAAAAAAAAAAATTTTTTTTTTTTAAAGGAAGAAAGCAGTTCAAGGCTAGCCTGCTCTACATAATGAGTTCTGGCCAGCCAGGGCTGCATGGTGAAATTCTGTCTCAAAACAAAAGAACCCAACTAACCCACTAGCCAGCCAAACAAACAAAAACTAAAAAAAGATACTCATGCCCATCATTCCAGCACTCCTGGAGGCAGAGGCAGGAGGATCTGGAGCTCTCTGCTACCCCAGGCTGTATGGTAAGACCCGTCACATACACAATGAATACACAAGCAGAGTCTGGGGGATGACTGTCAGTAAAGTGTTTGCTGGTAAGTATGAGGGCCTGAGGTAGGGTTCAGAACAGAGTATGGAGGTGCACTCCTTTAATCCAGCACTCGGGAGGCAGAGGTAGCGTGGGGTGGGGGTGGGGGATCTCTGTGAGGTTGAGGCCAGCCTTTGTCTACATTCAAATTTCCAGGCCAACCAGGGCTATACAGTGAGATCTCAAAAGGAAAAGAATGGAAGGTGCCCTCTGGTGAGGCAGGCCTCGAATCCCAGTGCGGGGGGGGGGGGGGGGGGGGGGGGGGGGGAGACAAGACGGTTCCTAGAGCTTGACGGCCAGCCAGTCCGGTCAAGTTGGTGAGCTCCAGGTTTAGTAAGAGACCCTATGTCAAACCAGTAAGGGGGAAGACAGGACATCGATCGCTGGCTTCCAAATGCACATGCCACCCCACATGTGCACGTATGTGAACATACACACACACACACACACACACACACACACACACACACACACACCAAAGTAAATAAATAAATAAAACAAGTGAAGAAAACACATAGGGAAGGAAATGGGCCTGACCTGGGATTCAGCCTCCTTCCCTCCTCCTCCACGGGGCCTCAGCACAGGAAGTTGAGGTTGTAGGACTATTCCAAGGCTCTCAGTGAATCCTGGCAGAGAAGCAGTTTTAAATGTACAGAACAGCTCTGTTGATGCTACTGAAGGCGTGGTAAGCCCCAGGGTGGGATGTAGCAAACAGATGTCTTCAGATTGTTGGGAATCCATTCTGTTCTCTAACTGCTATTTTTTGCTCTGGGAACCAAACATCTGCTCTAGCGACTCCTCTGGGGACCCAGGGCGAGGCTGTGATGAGTTCAAGGGGGGATTATGTCACAGCCTAGAAAGAAGGGAGTGTCTTGGGGATTAGGAGGACAGCATCAGAGCAGGATGGGATCCACATGGGGCAGCAAGACGCCAGTAATGGACAACCGGATGGGGAACCAAAGCCTCCTGCCTTCTCTTCAGTGGCTGGCTCCTAAGACGCCACCGCCAGTGAAGCAGGGGTAGGGGGGAAGAGTACTGGCCACAAGCATGGTCCCTGGGAATGTTCCCGGTCTGCCTTTTCCTGAGTCAGGGAGAGAAACAACTCAGGACAAGGAGCCCCAGAACCCAGGTCTGTGCAAATGGAGGAAGTCCTTTCTAGAAGGAAGAAAGAACTGGCCAGGGTCAGTCAAAATGCAGAGGCAAACCCAGAGCACTTGTCTCCCAGAGAGCTAAGGGCCCCCAGATCTCTGCCCTCTGTGGGCAGGGAGCTCTCTAGGCTGAGCCACACCCCCAGCTGGGCCTGACTCTGGGGCAAGTGTGGCAAGCAGAGGTGGGGACAGCAGAGACAGAGGAAGGAGGGAGCTCGGAGGAGTCAGGAACTCGTGGGGGTCAGGAAGGCAGCCTGTGTTTAGCGCGGTTGGGAGGGACCTTCCTTCCCTCTGTGCGCTGAGCGCTTTTCAGGACACAGTGCTGGGGTGGGGAGTGGGAAGGGGGCGGGTGACGAGGATGCCTGGGATGCCAAAGAGAGGATCAGGAGTGTTAAATGATCCTGGTCTACAGCGATGCTTCTGAATCTAACGGGTGTGTGTGTGTGTGTGTGTGTGTGTGTGTGTGTGTGTGTTAAATGATCCTGGTCTACAGCGATGCTTCTGGATCTAGTGTGTGTGTGTGTGTGTGTGTGTGTATGTGTGTGTGTGTGTGTGTGTGTTAAATGATCCTGGTCTACAGCGATGCTTCTGGATCTAACAGGGCTCTGTTGTGTGACACAACGGTCCCGAGGCAGATGTAACACACACATCTCCTCACCCCAGACAGGGAGCTCATGACAAAGTACAGACACCACCAAAGTCCAACTTGGCGAACCAAAGAGGTGTTTTGGGGTTTTTTTTAATTAATTAATTAATTAATTTTGTTTTTTTGAGACAGGGTTTCTCTGTGTAGCTTTGTTTCCTCTGTAGCCCAGGCTAGCCTCAAACTCACAGAGATCCACCTGCCTCTGCTGAGTGCTGGAATTAAAGGCGTGCGCCGCTGCCGCCACCGCCACC